CAGCAGCTTTCCTCTTTCTCTGTATGTGCTTTTCTGCTCTGTCTAGGGTGGGCATGTGAAGGACAGCTTACAAGCGATAGGGCTAGCTTACAGTGAGAATAGGCTGTTTTGTCATCAGTGACTAGCTTTCTGCCTTTCTTGTTTGTGACACATTTCTTTGTTTGTTGTTTTGAGATAGAGTCTCACTATGCAGCCTTGGCTGGCCGGCAACCCTGGGTCTGGTCAGTGTAATGCTACTGTTAAAAAACCAATTGGCGGCTGGACTCACCTTTAATCCCACTTGGAGGAGGCAGAGGCAGGCCAGCTCTGTGAATCCAAGGCCAACCTGGTCTACATAGTGAGTTCCAGGCCAGTGAGGACTACATAATAAAGAGACCCTGTCTCAGTAGAAAAAGAAAACGAGACCCTAAAAGTCGTGAAGTAAGTGATAGGTCTCAGTCACGCAACCCTCCTACATCAGCCTTCAGAGCTCTGGGATGCCAGGCATGGTCCACTGTGCTCATCTTAGCCTCTCCTTGTGTTTACCTTTGCACTTAGGTTGTTTTTTTAATTTATTTAAAGACATGAATCCTGTTGCCCATGCTGGCTCCAAAAACCTAGGCTCAAACCATTTCCTGCTTCAGCCTCCTGAATAGCTGGGACTATGGTGGTGTCACCACACCCGGTTTGGTCATGATTTGCTCTAGTGTCCTGGACGTTGCTCACATATTTGGCCTCTAGAATAAGTGCTGAGGCCACTGATCAGCGTGTGGTTACACCCAGAGTGTGCTGAGATCCAGGTCACTGTGGGCAGCCTGCGTCTATTAGAGGTTCAAGCAAGACATAGCTGAGTGTCCTTTTAATTCTTTCCTGTTGGTGAACGCGCACAGGTCAACAGGTGAACAGGGGAGCAGGGGAGCAGGGGAGCATGCGCAGGTAGATGGCCGGTGCGTGTGTGCAGGTCAGAAGGTATTTTTATGGTGGTGTTTCTTTTATCTTTATTTGGATTCCAGGTATCAGACTTAGGGTGTTAGGCTTGAGGATCAAGCACCTTACCTGAGGAGCCATTTTTCTGGCTGTTAAATTTTTTGGGGGTGGGATGGAGGGATAGAGTTTACTCTTAATTATTTGCTTGGGTAACAGGTCCAACACTGACTTGAACCCTTGGCCATTCCTTTTTTTTTTTTTTTTTTTTTTTTTTCTTTTGAGGGTTTTGAGACAGGGTTTCCTTGTGTAGCCTTGGTTGTCCTGTACCCACTTTGTAGCTGGCCTTGAACTCAAATCTGCCTGCCTCAGCCTCCCAGAGTGCTGGGATTATAGGTGTGCGCCACCGTGCCCAGCTTTGGCCATTATTCTTTCTTTCCTTTTTTTTTTTTTTTAAGATTTATTTCTTTTATTATGTATACAGTGTTCTGCATGCATGTACACCTGCACGTACACCTGCAGGCCAGAAGAGGGCACTAGATCTCATTATAGATGGTTGTGAGCCACCATGTGGGTGCTGGGAGTTGAACTCAGAACCTTTAGAAGAACAGACAGTGCTCTTAACCTCTGAGCCATCTCTCCGGCCCTCTCGCCATTTTTCTTAAGTGGTGGTTTTGTTTATTCCCTCCGTCCCTCTCTCCCTCCCTCCCTTCCTTCCTTCCTTCCTTTTTAAAAAGTTGTGAGGCATGTGGTTGCTGGGAATTGAACTCAGGACCACTGGGAGAGCAGCCAGTGCTTTGACCTCTGAGTCATCTCTCCACCCCATCCCTTTATTTTTAAAACAGGGTTACACATACTTAAAAATGAAATTAATCTTAAAACAACAACAACAACAACTAAAAATGAGAGATGGCTCAGCGGTTTAGAGCACTGTCTGTTCTTCCAGAGGTCCTGATTTCAATTCCCAGCAACCACAGGGTGGCTCACAACCATCTATACAGGGATCTGATGCCCTCTTCTGGCATGTAGATGTGCATGCAATTAGAGCACTCATACATAAAAATGAATACATGCATATTTTAAAAAAGAAAAAAAAAACAACTATAAAAGCTTCGAACGGGGATGGGGAGTCATCTCAGGGGTAAAGGTGCTCACTGCGAATCCTGATGATCTGAGTTCAACCCCTAGGACCTGCAGAAGAGAGACCTAACTCTTCCGAGTTGTCCTCTGTCCTTCACAAGTGTACCAAGGCATACAATACCCCTCACCCCACGCCCCAAATAAATGTAAGAAAATAATTAGGGCCTAATGATATGTTTCATATAGTAGAGGCACCTGCCTGGTGACTTGAGTTTAATTCCTGGAACTCATGTAAAGATGAACTAAGAGAACCATCTCCACATCATTGTATTCTGATCCCCTTCATGCACGCTGTGGAACACACTCATAAATAAGTCAGTAAAGTATGGGGGAGCGGGGAAGACAGTGTCACTGTGTAGACCAGGCTGGCCTCATCTTGCTTTGTAACTGAGGAAGACCTTCACCTTCCGGTCCACCTCCTCTACTTCCCGGGTGTTAGGGTTACAGGCCCTGACTACCGTGCCCCATCTTCCAGCTGTTAGGATTACAGGCATCTGTGCCTAGGGTTTTTGTTTTGTTTTGTTTTTTGTTTGTTTGTTTGTTTTAAGACAGGATTGCAGTTTGTAGCCCAGACTGGCCTTGAATTGGAGGCACTCCTGCTTCATCCTCTTGAGAGCTGGGTTACATGAGCCACCACACCCAGCTTGTCTTTTTATTGAAACAGTAAGGAAGAATACAAAGTTTAAAGAGTCACCTAGAGCTGGGTGTGTTGACAACACCCTTAGTCCCAGCACTGGGGAGGCAGGGGCAGGTGTGTCTCTAAGTTCTAGATCAGCCTGGTCTACAGAGCAAGTTCCAGGACAGCCAGGCTACATGTTGTGGCTATCGAATTGGCTCAGTGGCTACGAGCCCTTGCTATGCGGTCATGTAATGAGTCTGGCATCTTGAACATGCCTGTAACCCCAGTCCTGAGGTGAGGGAGATAGGAGGATCACTGGAGCTCACTGGCTTCCAGCCCAGCGGAGAAAAATGCAAGCCCCAGCATCAGTGCTAGCCCTAGCCCTGAGACTCTCAAAACGAGTGGGTGGCGGGTGACAGAGGAGCGTACCTGACGACCTCTGACCTTAGTTGCACACAGACAGCACTTGCCCATCTGAATCAGCACAGATATATAGAATCCCTAAAACAGCTGCCTTGTTTCTTCTTGCTTATTCTCAATTACTGTCTTAAGTTTTCAAAATGTTTTGTTTGTTTATTTTTATGTGTATGGGTTCTTTTTACTTGCATGTAGATCTAGGCACTGTATGCATGGAGTGTCCATGAGTCCAGAAGAGAGGGCCTCAGATCCCCTGGGACTAGAGTTGCAAATGGTTGTGAGCCACCATGTGGGTGCTGGGTATCAAATCTGGGTCTTGAGCCATCTCTCCAGCCTTTTTTTATGTTTATTTATGGGTGTTTTGCCTTTATGTATGTATGTCTGTGTACCACATGTATGCATGATGCCTTTGGAGGTCAGAGTATCAGATGCCCTGGAACTTAAGTTATGGATGGTTGTGAATCACTTTGTGGGTGCTTGGAGTTGAACTCATGTCCTCCACAAGAACAAGCAGGTACTCTTAACCGTTGACCCATCGCTTCAGCTCCTTCAGCCCTTTTCGTGTTTATAATATATGTTACACATATGAATGTTATATATTACATATATGAGTATTATCTGTGAATATATATTTAAATGTGCTCATTGCCAGGCGCGTGTTTATTGCTGGCGCATGCCTTTAATCCCAGCACTCGCGCTCGAGGAAGGAGCAGGTGTACTTCTGTGAGTTGGAGGCCAGCCTGGTTCCTATGAGTTCCAGGTGAGCCAAAGCTACATCACGAGGCCTTAACTAAAAACAACAAGAAAATAATACTGTGTGTGCAGGATGTGTTTGTGGGGTCAGCGTACAGGTGGCAGTCAGGTGACAACTTCGTGCTGTCAGTTCTCTGTTCCCCGTAACCGGGGTTTTTAATTTGTGGGTTCTTCTTGTCCCCACTCTCCTCCTCCAGTTTCACCCCCTAACACTACATTGGCAAGAAACAAGGAGAGAGGGGAGAGAGGAATTAGGAAAATTCTTGACTCTAATTTCTTTTCGTTTCTTTGAACGTGGTACTGACAAACTGCAAACAGCCTCCCTAAATGATCACCAGCCACCCGCTCCCGTGCGGCCTTTAGCCTTTATGGACCTTCTGAAGAGTTCCAGGACCCTAGCCGTCACACAGGTGCAGAAACTGTCTGCAGCTGGCAGGCCATGCTAGAGCAAGAGGCAAATCATAGTCAGCTGCTGTGGACAGTTCGTTTTAATCCCTACACCTGAGATCAAAACGAAAACACATTTTTAGAATATTTCTGTGGTTAAAAAGAAAAAAAACCCACCAAAATTCCAGAATTGTCACTACAGTTCCCTTCTGTGTGGGTTCTGGGGATTGGAATTATCTCACCAGGTTTTATTACATTGATTTAGTAACTGTGTGTGTGTGTGTGTGCACGGGTGTGTACAGGTGCGTGCACGGGTAGGGAAGTTGTGCTCTGGTGCACTGGTGAAGGCGAGAGGACAGTGGGGAGTCAGCTCTCCCACGTAGGTGTTAGGAACCGGACTCAGGTTGTTAGACATGCAGCGAGGGCCTTCACCCACTGAACCGTCTCACCTGCCCCTCTCAGTTTTTTAAGATTTGTTTGTATGTTTGTCCATCCCCGTCCGGTTGGCACAGGTGTGCACACACTGGTGAATGTGCGTGTGTGCACGCACGTGCCCTCATTCAGAAGCAGGTACTGGATCCCTGGGGCTGGAGTTCCAGGCAGTTGTGAGCCTTCCAACACAGATGGTGGAAACTGAACTTGGGTTGGCCCTTTAACTGCGAAGACGTTATGTCCAGCCCCTCGCCTACTTTCAGTCAGCATGTTTCTGAATTATATATTGTCTTTATATTCCCACAGAGCATGCTTATCCCGCCGTTTTCTTTTTCTTTTTCGGACACAGGAGTTCACTGGGTATCGGTGGTTGTCCTGGAGCTCACTCTGTATACAGATCAGGCTGACTTGGAAGTCACGGAACTCAGGAGACCTGCCTCTGCCTGTGAGTGGTGCTGAGATGAAGCCCTGTGCCACCACACCTGACATTACACTCTCTAGCCCCCCCCCCCCCGACCGGGTTTCTCAGTCTAGCCTGGGCTGTCCTAGGACTCACTCTGTAGACCAGGTTGGCCTCAAACTCACAGAGATTCGCCTGCCTCTGCCTCTGCCTCTGCCTCTGCCTCTGCCTCTGCCTCTGCC